GAGTGTGGTGATGGTTATGGTGGTGATAATGGTGGTAATGATGGTTGTGGTAATAATGGTCATGGTTATAATGATGGTCATGGTGGTGATAATGGTGCTGGTGGTGATAATGGTGGTGGTGGTAATGATGGTGGTGGTAATGATAATCATGGTGATGGTAATGGTGGTAATGATGGTAATGGTGGTAATGATAATCATGGTGATGGTAATGGTGGTAATGATGGTCATGGTGGTGATAATGATGGTGGTGGTATAATGATAATCATGGCGATGGTAATGGTGGTAATGATGGTCATGGTGGTAATGATGGTGGTGGTAATGATGGTCATGGTGGTGGTGATGATAGTCATGGTGGTGAATATGGTGGCAATGATGGTAATGGTGGTAATGATGGTGATGGTAATGACGGCCATGGTGGTGATAATGGTGGTGGTGGTGGTGATGATGGTCATGGTGGTGAATATGGTGGTAATGATGGTAATGGTGGTGGTGATGGTAATGATGGTCATGGTGGTAATGATGATGGTGGTAATTAATGATGGTGGTGATGAGTGATGGTAATGATGGTGGTACTAATGTATCTGACAGTGGTGGTTATGGTGACAACAGTGATGATGGTTAGTGTTTTGAAAAATTACCTGGAAAACATTCTGTACACCACAAGCTCAAAAACTTTGAAATAAGTATCACAAGAAATTCCTTCTTTTCAGTGTGATTGTGACACTGTGCCATAAGCCATGTTTGCCATTGCTGCAAGACCTTTGAGCAATCAGGGTTCATTTCCGAGGGCAAGCTCAGGTTTAAGTTGTTGGAAACTTTGAACAAAATGGTTGGGTTGCCTGTGTGAAGGGTTCGCCTCAAAGTCAAGTAACCACGGGGTTGACCTTGAAATTAGAATTATTCATTTGTTAGCAAAACAAAAAAATTAATAACCCAGGCCAAAAAGAATTCAGTTTCTGGTGAGTGAGTACATTTCTAGTTTCGATAAGTGCATACATTGGTTTCTTATGCTTAATGTTAAACTGTCACCAAGTTTACATAGAAATGATAGAATAAAATGAGAACTGGTAGATGTTGACAACTACTAAATATTCAGGTGTATAAAATAATAGAAATATATCAAGTATCTATCACAACACTATGCTTTATTTTCCTATCCAGTTATTTTAAATTCAAGGTATAGTTGGAAGGAGCTTTGAGGACTTTTTGCTGGGTCCATTTTTGTAGAGTGTACTATGGGTCTGGGCAGCTGTCACTCCCCCCCCCCCCCAATGAGGAGAGCAGGGTGGGACTTGGGGTGTCCATGAGGAAGACACAAAATTAAGTTTCATGGCTTTAGAACAGCTCAAAATTGCATGTGGTATGTTAGTTTTTTCCTACTTTGTTGTGTTTCCAACAGGAAAAATTATTTCCACATCACAATTTTAACTCAAACAACTTCATTTTTACTGCACTAAAACTTTTGATGAGATGAATCAGCCAATCAGGAGTTTAATAGTGGGATATCAGCACCAAGTCCCGCCCGCTATGGTAACCACCTATTGGTGAAAAATGACCGTCTCCCATCTGGCCAAGCACTTCCCGCGAGTACGAACACACCAGCACTTGGCTTTCACACTGGGTAACACGCTTCACCACATCTCGAAACTCGACAACTGTTGCCGTCGGCAATGCCTGCACCATGTCGACGTCCAATCCATTACACATGGCAAGACACGAAAAATGGAATAGCGTTATGCCTTCCTTTTTGGCGACTTCAAGTGGCACACAACAGTCTAGCATACTTTCATGGTACCATCGCCAAGGAGCCTTCCACACCTTGCCCGGATCAACTGATAATGCATTCAAAACCATAACTAATGTTGACAAGCCACAATAAGCCGGTTCGTCTTGTGTCCGAAATTGTGAACTCAGAATAAAAAAACAGTCCATAGTGCCTTCATTCAACGCTTCTTTGAAAATATTTTTGCCCTCCGTCGAGGCAAAATCGATGCAAGAAGAAGGGAGGGGCTTGCGGTAATATTCCTTCTTTGGGGTCGCCATATTTGTATATTAAATATTAATTATTCTCTTTTATAGAAATTCTAGTCTTTTCTTGTGCAAAAAAAAAGAAAGCAGGTGGGCCACATGCACTAAAGCGTAAACAACCGCGTTCCCAGGATAATAGAGACAATAGACCCTGCTAGATCGAGGTTGCTAACAAAATAGGTTGTTTATCTTGTAAACTTTATATACAATGCATTCTTCGTGGAAAACACATATTTTACACAATAAAAATCACAAAATAGGAAATGATATATTTCGGTGTATTAAATTCTGTGAATTAATGAGAGATTGGGGCCGAGTTTTCAAAATTATGTGAATGAAAATGAGGAAACCGACTGAACCAATAATTATTTCTGGAAAGATTCAAAATTAGTTCAAAATGGACGAATTGCGCTTTAGACTAAGTTTTAATCTAAGTAAGAACAACGAAATCTATCACCATAGCTAGAAAGAGCGTCTTGGAATTAGTAATATTACAAAGTTTGGTTGCGAAATGTTGTAAAATACGGAAAATATAGCCCTTCAAAGTTGGCAAATTTGTATACTTTTGTATATTACGTGCGTGAATTGGTAACTAAATTAGTTACCAATTTCCGCACGTAATAGAAATGTATACAAATTTGCCAACTTCGCAGGGCTATATTTTCCGTATTTTACAACATTTCGCAACCAAACTTTGCAGTTTTTCTAATTTTGATAACTTCTTTCCGAAAATATCCTTTGTTATTCCCAGATTAAATTTTTTTCTAAAGCGCAAGTCGTCCATTATCTGTAGTCGATTGACTTCTGGATATATACTGTATGAATAACAAGCTTTCAAAAATTTGGAAAATTCCTATATAATATAATAGGGAGCTTTAGGGCCTGTTCATATGGACAACAGTTATTCCGGTTAGCGAGAAAACGTTTCGACAAGTTCACAAGCGAGATCTCGCCTTGGTATGAAAATAATATGAAAAGTTACACTGCGTTCATATGAGACAAAACGTTTCCCGTGTACCGAGATCTCACTTGCTGACAGGCGATATCTCGGTGACCAGGATAATGTTTTTCCCATATGAACACAACTTTCCCGCTTAGGCCACATAAAAAAAATTACTTGTTTAGCGTCCCCGCCCGACCTGATAAAAGTCCCCGACCTCCAATTTTTTAAAATTTTTTTTTAAAAATTTGTCCGAGTTTAGTGGAAAAACTCTATAAAAAAGACCGTTTTACTTGAAAAAATGGTGATTTTATTCTTCTGGGAGCTATGTAATACGTTTACACAAAGTTTCCTTCCCAGAATATGCCTGTTCGCAGCTAAAGTGTTCGCGCGTGACCGCCAAACGGTAATTTTCTGTTTTATTAAAAACATGAACGGGAAGTTGAAAACATGAACGGATTTTGAAAGAATTAAAGTGAGTTTTGACTGTGGTAATATACTGGATTTCCTGCATTTAGCAGAATTTTGTGTTGCATTTTACGAAAAAAAAAAAAAAAAAATCCGTCCGCCCGACCTAGAAAAATTGAAATGGGTGGACGCTAAACAAGTATTTTTTTTTATGTGGCCTTAGCGGGATAACTTTCTGTCGTGTCAGCAACTTTTCAATTCAATTGATGTTCAGTGCTACGTCACAGCCGAAAACTTTACCCGGTAAGCGGGATAAAGTTTCTCTATTTGAACAGAACAAAAGTATTTGGCTAGTCGAAAAATTGTCTCGTTAACCAGGATAACTTTTGCCCATATGAACAGGCCCTTAATACGGTAAATTAATACTTTTAAAAGTGACTTTTAAATATCACTTATAGTCGTAAGTCCCTGTATGATAATAACGATCATATGCCTTATATACTTTTATGAAATTGTTAGTATTAAATTATATTGATACTCCCCATGTGTAAATACTTTTAGTCAATTCAGATCATACAATTGTCTTTTTTATCTTCTATAATTATAAATATCTAGTTTTTATATAGCCTTCTTATAATTGTTGCCATGTGCGTGTGAGCATATATCTGAATCGGAACTTGCGCTACAAATGCAAATATTATTATTATCTGTAATTACCGAAACTTTGAGAGTGTAAACCATGCAGTTTTTACATGATGTAACATTTACTCAAATAACTTCAGCTTCGCTATTCAACTACAGGGGGTGGGGGTGGTTTGGATGATATTAAAATAGAATATCTCGTAGCGCAATGTATTCTGATTTCGTGAAAAATATCTCATGTGGAAACCGGAAAGACGCAAAATGTTTTTTAATTAACTACACGTGGAGTTGATATGCTTTAAGTAATGATAATTAAAATACACAGAAAGAAACCAAAACTAAAGTAACTTTATTTATACTTCGGGGGATGAGGTGCAATTTTGGAATGAGGAATTCTTTTTCTTGTTATTTGTAGAGCATATAATGTTTCAGTTTACTGTTCAATGTCACATAGAATGTATGATGTTTGTTTCTCTTTTAGAATTAGATCGAAAAGGTGGTTGCAGCTAGGTATTCAGATCCTGGAATGCTGTGAAATAGCTCTGGTGTGAAAGGAAATTTTTTATTCATTTGATGATTGACTAATGAAATTAGAATGGTGAGACCGTGAGAATAATCATGACGACGCTAGTGAAACACAACTTGTGATGCAGATACTGGTGATGCATATACGTTGTAATGATACTGCTGAATATCAGAAGATGTATAGATAATAGTAGTATAGTAGTAACAATGGTTTTGAGTACAATTTGGGAAAAACATGCACGAGTGAGTTTTTCAAAGACAAAGACTATCAAAATTGCATGAGTCCGACTACGAGTGCAATTTTGTTTTTTTAGTGCAATTTTTAATTTTTTTTTTATGTTATATAATATAGTTGTTTGTTTAATCATATACTAGTATTGATAGGGGTAGTGTCAATTGGGACGCAAGTCCTGTTCTTTTCTCCAGTCACGTCTATGTTTAGTGTGTTATCTTGTCAGAATGTTGTGTTAGTGTTGCTTGTTTGCTAATATACATTTTTTGTATATATCTATATAAAGGTGACGAAATTATTGATAAATAGAAATATAATTTGAAGTCTGTGAAAAATTCACGAGTGTATGTTTTTTTCAAATTGCACGAGAAACCATACTATTACTTATAAATAATAATACAGAAAAAATTATGCAGTCACATGCGTGCGTACACGCGTAAAAACGCTCAGGTTGTTGCAATATTGACGTAAACAGGATTGAACAATGTTTTGCTGCCCACATTGTTCACAGTTGTCAACAATATTGAACAATATTGTTACACGCAAGTGTGAACGTGGGCAGCACAACATTGTTCAATCCTGTTAAACAGCGTGCTCAGCGTTTTTAGCCGTGTAGGTCACATGCGAAATAGTTGAAAATCTACTAAAAACGCCAGCCATTTTTGTCACTCATGATGTTTGGGTTTTTTGTATGATTTTCTGCTAGAAATGGCTGTACCTTACAGTCAATCGGAAATTTGGCCTGTATTTCATTTTTTGGCACTGTATTTCGAAAAAATTGCGCTGCTCTTAATAGTCCATCAGAAATGAGAGTAATAATACTGGTGATTAAGTTCTAATGAAGACAAACAGTTAAAAAATGAGGGGCCCCTATACTTTTTGCGTGAAGCGTGATGGGGCCCCCATACTTTTTGCGTGAAACGTGATGGGCTTATTTTACTTAGCCGTGAAACGTGATCGATTTTCTTAATCCGTGAACATGAAGGAATTTTTTTCGTGACTCGTGAAAAGGCAAAATATTTTTACGTGAAAGCATATTGTGAAGAGGTATAGGGGGCCCTCAAAAATGGTATAGGTGATACAAAAGACAAAAGTTGTGATGAAGGCATACAATGAGACATGAACTATGGTGAAATTGGGCGTAACGGATGTGTATGACTTGATCGATTGTGTTGGTGAGATACGAGCTCAACCAGTAAACCAGTCAGGCTAGAATCTCGCCTTGCGCTCCTCGCCATAATAGACAGATTTAGATCGAGGACGCGGACGTCAAAGACGACGTGAAAATGGCGTGTTGTGCCCATGTGTGGGATATGCCACGCCATTTTTACTTCATTTTCACGTCGTGATCTAAATCTGTCTAATGGCATTAAAGGGGCACATTAAACGGCATAGTTGGAAAATGCAAACAAAAATAAACATCAATGGTCGTAACACAAGGTGCAGCTTGTTTAATTACAACAAAAAATGATTCGGAAGACGTCATGTCTACATAATAGCTGTGATAATAGTGAGCTTAGCTAGCAACGTTTCTGTCAACACGGACATCGCCCAAAAATTGGTACAACCACGCATTTCACGGCATAGTACAAAACATGGACTGGACCCATGGACTGGACCCAAAATTGGACTCAAAATTGGACCCAAAATTGGACTCAAAATTTTAGCCAAAATTTTGCCCAAAAATCCATTATTTTTTCGGAGAGAAACAACCCTCAGTATATCGTGCTTTGATTTAATTTGTATAGGCAAAAAACTTCACGTTCCATCACTTTTCCTTGACCTATCCAGCTATTTGTCTTCCAAAATTCTACATTCTATTTTATGATAATAAAATAGAATAATGCATAATGATAAGCCCACATATAGCTAGTTGCGATAAATATTAGAATATATGGACAAAACAAACTTTGCGAACTCGTTACTCGTTAGAGGATATATATGCCGGAATATGTAGAGGGTGTATTATACCGACACAAAATGTCATTTTGTGTCTGTATATGAAAATGTATTAAAATAACTATATATAATATATTGATGTATATATTGATGGAATGATTTATATCAATGTGATGTATTTGTGACCATTGCGCAGATATTTCTTAGGTTTATTATTCGCAGGTTTATTATTTACGAGATACCCTAGCCTAGATAACGTTTAGAAAACAGAATATAGAATTTTGGAAGACAAATAGCTAGATAGGTCAAGGAAAAGTGATGGAACGTGAAGTTTTTTGCCTATACAAATTAAATCAAAGCACGATATTCTGAGAGTTGTTTCTCTCCGAAAAAATAATGGATTTTTGGGCAAAATTTTGGCTAAAATTTTGAGTCCAATTTTGAGTCCAATTTTGGGTCCAATTTTGGGTCCAGTCCATGGGTCTAGTCCATGTTTTGTACTATGCCCGCATTTCACATCATAGCGCACGTATAAGGAAACAAAAATCTTATGTCTTGTCATATTTGTTTGAAGATTACCACAAACTGAAACAAACATAGTTTTTAATCCAGCCCCCTCTTGACAACCTGACGTCCTTGTTGACAAAAAGGTCAATTGCTTTTAAGCTCACTGGAATAAAAACGGTCACAGAATGAACACAGAATAATTCATCCTACACAGGCGCTGGGGTGAATGAACTTCAACTATGGTACATACACAGGTATTTCCTGCTTGTGTATTAGTGACCTTGGGCTTGGCATGCATTCATACTTAAGATCTGATAATGTATACACACATGCTGTCGGATTCAATCAAATAAAACCAACAATCGGCCAATGGTGTCACAATCAATGAAATCAATTACATAGGATCAACTTTCGCGGTTTTCCCCAATATGCAGTCACAGTTGAGACAGCGCAGAGATGCTGTTCCTCATACAACGCTATACAGCACACGGATGGCGGACCAAAAAGTAGGAGAATATTCATTTGAGGCTCTATGTGATGGGCAGGACGTTTTAAGGCTCAAGGCCAGACCTAAGGATAAGGAATTGCCAAATGTGCGTCGAAATTCAGACAAACGCGAGAACAGACAGTCTGTCCAAGAGCAAGGTAAGGATCTTTCTGTATTAATTGTATAACACCTACTATGAATTCGTCTAATTGCTTTCAAGGGCATATATATCACTTTGAAGACTTTCTTCCGGACTGAGATGATATTGTTTTTACGACTACATGGCGTTTCTCAAGCCGCCGCTGAAGTTTAAATAATATCTCAGCCCGAATCGGAATTTTTGCCTGTTGGCATTATTTAGCGCGAGATGAAATGTTAAAGTTTCGAAACAGTGCCATTCGCTTCTTTCAATCATTTAAAACGTTGATTATGTCTAATATTTGACTTGAAATTATAATTCTGCCTTTTACATTGTAATAATGTATAGCCACGGGATCCCAAAGCGGACATTTGGGCTGAAAATATCCATGTAATCAATAATTGTAATATATTTTATACGCGACATTGCATTTTTAGAACTTATGAAGTACGTACCCGTAGACGACTTTCTATTTATTCCGTACAAAAATTACTTTTTTTGATTACTTTAAGAACGAATGTCGCTAAGTCACCAAGTGTACGTTATTTTTATTCGAAAGAATGAAAATTGTAATTAATTTTGTGATACGAATGTATATATTATCCCGTCAAAAGTTTAGTAATTATCAAAGAGCCAGTCCATCCAGTCTAGATAATATTCTACAATAAAATGCCGTGGTTGGTGTCTAAACTACCTGAAAAACCAAAGAAAATTATAAGGAAGATTTCAGCTAGGTTTGACTGTAGAAATACTATGTTGTAATATTGATTTATTAAGATTTAAGGTGTAAACAATATTCAATAATACGCTTGAAACTTGACACCTGCGCTCAGCTTATTATAAACGCAGCCAGTACTCAAGAGACAATACCCTTCGTACATCAAGGTCAAACCAGCAGTTGACGAGAGAGTTTTGCTCGTTTGACTGGCCAGGAACTCTCATGCAACTCTTGTTCTCGTTTGACCGGGCCACGAGAGGTAAGAAAACTCTCATGCGAACTCTCGCTTGTCAGGCCATCATCGTTTAACCAGGATTTTTAAAATTCGCGTCGTACTCATTATCGTTCAGCTTTAAATTCGCGCGCGATTTAATTGCGCGCACCTTGTTGAGACTTATTCGCGCAGCTTTAAATTACTTCAATATTTGTTAAAACCACTGATATATAATCAAAAAGCGATTAGGTGACGTCAAAAAATGGTTTCAAAATTATGTAATGTATTAGCAAAATTCAAGATAACAATTAATAAAGCGTGAGTTCAAAATACCAACAAGAACTAAGAAATTTATTGTATGGTTTTCATTTGCCTAATACAATAACATAATGCAAATAGTAATGCAAATCAGTTAATAACTCAACTGATTTGCATTACTAACAATAAGTGTATAATACTAGGGTACTTGCAAGGTAGGGATTGCTGCGGGCATTAAAAGCAAATAGAACTACAGTAAATAGCACAAATTATATATCAAGCACAGTTATTACTCGCAGCGACTAGTGAGCTGTGAGCTTAAGGCCTTAAGCCAGTAAGGAATCGATTCTTACCATGAGTGGAA